ATTCACGGAGGACCCAGAGATTGGAGGATTGGTTAAAATAAGGAGGCCAGGGCAGCCATGCCAATTGATGGGGAAGATTTGGGGAGCTGGGCCCATGCAAATAAAATATTCTAACGCAGTCACATGCAAATTATGCTCTCAGAAGAAGGAATTCAGGGCCAGCCCACAGACTAGGGCACTGTGTTATGGAACCCAGGGACCCTGAAAAGTATTTGGGGGTCACTGTGGACAATCAGCTCATCATAAGCTTGCAATGTGATGACGTGTCCAAAAGGAAGGAGGGATCCCAGGGTGGATGAGTAGAGCAGTGGTGAGTTGGAGCAGGGGAAGGATTCTCTCTGCACATGGCACTGGTGAAACTGACGTATGATACACCTCATCCATGAGAAGTAACGGTAGTTCGAATTAGAGATCCTAATTTGAACTACCTACTCCATGTCGCGTGTAGCCGCGGGCACAGAGTTCAGACTAAGGGGGATTTAAAAATGGCGGCTCCCGAGAAGATGCAAATGAAGCCCGGGATATTTAAATCCCGGGCTTCATTTGCAACCCCGGTTGCCTGATTTGCCTCCCTAGCTTGAACTAACGAGCTAGTGTAGACATACCCTAAGAGACCCCCTTAAAGGAAAACATTCCTTTTCTCTCACATAGTTTTCCCTTTCTTTACTTCTAACTATTTGATGAACTATTTTTAAGAGAAACAACTCCAGCAAAATAAGTACCTTAGTAAGATAAAATCCTTTGTGTTGCCTAAAATCTTTGACCACATTTTTTTTTTTAAAGTTGCAGAAATGTTATAAGCATGTCTATTGTTATGGAGATCAGACAAAGTAAACTAAAAGTGTTCCTTTTTTTCTAAAAAGCAATGAACATCTTTATGAATACACTAATCCTCTGTGACTGATCAATTTAGAATTATGTCTGTGTTCCACCAAGTTTAAAATATGTCGTAATCCAGAATGGGTGTTTCATGAAGGCTTAAGAGTACATTTAAAATATAAAATCAGCTTAGAAATACCAATTAACAACAATAAAACAGCGAAGAGCTTCATCATGTATTCTGTAACATTTATTGTTGTGTTCAGCAGCACAGCTGGCTTGCCCTTACCTTACGTAGTTCTTGCAAATAAATCTCGGACAAACTTTAGGGTGCATCAAAAAACCTGTGATAGGCATTTTTATGCTCAAGTTTAGTGCTTTCAATTATGCACTTTTCTTCACCATCTGGTATATTCTGGAAAATAAGCTCTTTTTTAAAATGAAATTGTAGAAGAGGGTTATTTTTTCAAATGTTGTTTGTTTCATTTGGACTCAGGGAGTTGACTCGAGGGTAGTACAGGCTGGACCACTGGCAGAGAAGGTGGGTTGGGGAGCTTGTGATGCGTGTTACCACATTTGACAAATGACGATGAAAAATGGGAGAGAGAGCAGAAAGGAGCCACATTTATTCCAAGCTGGAGAAAATGACGGAGAATGAGAGAGTTCCGGGTTGACGGTATTTACATGGATGGCAGAGGTCTTCCTGTCTGCACAGATAATCCATCTCCCTGAGAGATGGTAGCTAGGTCAATGAAATAATTCTCAACTCCATCGAATGTTGCCTTGAACAGAGTCCATGCTAA